GTCTTAGTATCCAACCAGGGTAAAGGAGAAGCTATTTCCAGAGGAAAACACTGGTGCAAAGAGATAATATACATGGTTCAAGGTATCTTTATTTGAAGTGATATTAGCAGATCAGGCTAACTCTGGCCCAAACGAATCAGTTCACTCTGAGAGTTCAGAAAGTGAAAGTGAAAGTCACTCAGTCATGTCTGACTCTTTGCGACCCTGGGGACTTAGCCTGCTAGGCTCCTCTGTCCACGGAATTTTCCAGGCCAGAATATTGGAGTGGGTAGCTGTTTCCTTCTCCAGGGGATCTTCTCAACCCAGGGATTGAACCCAGGTCTCCTGCATTGCAGGCAAATTCTCTACCATCTGAGCCACAGAGAAGTCTGAGAAGTTCAGAAGACAAGCACAAATTTCAAACAAGAAGCCAAACAGAACAGCCACATTGAAACAATGACCACTTATTCTCATCCAGCCCTGAAGATTAGCTTGTTGCCCCTTTTCTCAAGGGTGTAAATTGTTTAGCTTAGTGACCTTGGTTTGTTGCTGTGTTTTATTTAATTGTGCAAAGACCTGAGTGATGGACTGGGTGATGAAGTTTGGGGGAAGGAAACCTTAGGTAGAGGTACAATTTTTTGAAGTTTATTTCAGAGTACATGAGTTGATCAGGGAAATTAAAGGAAAAGAAGCCATGGGTGGATATGCAGAACACAGTAGCTTCCTTGGTTTCTTAGAGTTCTTCATGTTTCCTCTGGAAGTATCTGAGGACAGGGCTTTGTATCACCTCTGCCATCTTGTGCTTTTTAGCCTGGTTCTGTCTTTCCTTCCTTTCCTCCCTCTCTCCTTTGTTCCATCCCTCCCTCTCTTCTTCCCACCTTCAGAAATGGTGGGGAAAAGGGAAAGATAATAGGGTGAGAACAGTAAGAGTTCTGTAAAATTCCACATGTTGTATGGAAGTAAAAAATGGAATCCTTTAATCCTACCTAAGTTTTATTTTTAACATTTTGATTTTAGCACTTTGTTGTTGTTGTTGTTGCAATAAAATCGGAACTATCGCCTGTGTGTCAAATTTGACTAAGGCTAAAAATAGGCTAGCAAGGTTGAGCATGAAAGAAGTGGCCCAGCTTCTCCTTCCTCCCTTTCATTTTGTTTCAGTTTGAATGAGAAGGAGGTGGCTCACACAACGAACAAGAACAGCAACTGGCTGGGTGTCTGTGTTCTTTCAGCCAATTATGATATTTTTGTGGGAAAGTTTCCAATTCTGAAGTCTCAGTTATGTAGAGGTGGGAGGCAGCTGGTGTGAATGTCTGTCTGCAGGGTACATGCATGATTACTCTGATCCAATGTGGCATGACAGCAATGTGCTTATTAAAAAAAGTAATGGTCTCAATTTCCCTGTACTTTAAAGCATCTTTATCCTCACCACTTAAAAATAAAAACCCCCAAAGCCTTAAAGAGACAAAAAGGTCAAAGCCAAAGTCACCAAAATATTTTGAGATCTCTCAGCCACCTCTAGGGAGGGATATCAGTAATGAAATTAAGTGTAATGGTCCACATTAACTACTATCTTCCTCCACAGCTCCAATAGCCTCCCCTTGAAGTCTTCATTTCATTAACTACCATCCTCCTCTCAATTTTCAAAATTTCTTACCTCTCTCCTTCATCCCTCACATCCAAATTGCCACCAAATCCTGCCGCATCTACCTTCAAAGCATTTGTCCATTTACTTATTCATGTATTTGTCATGCACTTACTAAATACCTACTGTGTATGATGCACTGTGTTAGGCACCATGGGATACAGTGACACCTCAGAGAGATACTTCTGCCATCACACAGCTTATCGTCTGGATGGGGGGCCCAGGCAAGAGACAAGTAAACAAGCAATTTCCATACTGTGTGCAAGCTCTTGTGGGAGTACATTGGGATCCCAGAGAACTGATGGTGTAGCTGAGACTGAAAGGTTCTGAAGAACGTAGCTGGAAGAAGGATGCTTTAGGCATCATCCATCCTAAAAAATTTTATCGAACACTAACTGCAGGTCAGGCTTTATGCTAGACTCTGCAGAGTTAGAAAGATAGACAATCCTGCCTCTCTGACTGCTTAGGGGAGTCGGGGTGAGGGAGACAGAGACATGAAAACTGTTGTTGTTGTTCAGTTGCTAAGTGGTGTCTGACTCTTTGAGACCCCATGGACTGCAGCATGCCATACTTCCCTGTCCTTCATTGTCTTCCAGAATTTGCTCAAACTCGTGTCCATTGAGTCGGTGATGCCATCCAACTATCTCATCCTCTGTTGCCCGCCTCTTCTCCTGCCCTCAGTCTTTCCCAGCATCAGAGTCTTTTCCAATGAGTTGGCTCTTCAAATTCAGTTCAGTTCAGTTCAGTCACTCAGTCGTGTCCGACTCTTTGTGACCCCAGGAACCACAGCACGCCAGGCCTCCCTGTCCATCACCAACTCCCGGAGTCCACCCAAACCCATGTCCATTGAGTTGGTGATGCCACCCAACCATCTCATCCTCTGTCGTCCCCTTCTCCTCCTGCCCTCAATCTTTCCCAGCATCAGGGTCTTTTCCAATGAGTCAGCTCTTTGCATCAATCAGGTGGCCAAAGTATTGCAGTTTCAGCGTCAACATTAGTCCTTCCAATGAACACACAGGACTGATCTCTGTAGAATAGACTGGTTGGATCTCCTGGCAGTCCAAGGGACTCTCCAAGTCCAAGAGTCTTCTCCAACACCACAGTTCAAAAGCATCAATTCTTCTGTGCTCAGCTTTCTTTATAGTCAACTCTCACACCCATACATGACCACTGGAAAAACCATAGCCTTGACTAGACGGACCTTTGTTGACAAAGTAATGTCTCTGCTTTTTGATATGCTGTCTAGGTTGGTCATAACTTTCCCTCCAAGGAGTAAGCATCTTCTAATTTCATGGCTGCAATCACCATCTGCGGTGATTTTGGAGCCCTAAAAAATAAGGTCAGCCACTGTTTCCCCATCTATTTGCCATGAAGTGATGGGACTAGATGCCATGATCTTAGTTTTCTGAATGTTGAGCTTTAAGCCAACTTTTTCACTCTCCTCTTTATTGATATTTCTCAATATCAATAACCTCAGATACGCAGATGACACCACCCTTATGGCAGAAAGTGAAGAACAACTAAAAAGCCTCTTGATGAAAGATTAGGTGGCCAAAATACTGGAGCTTCACCTCAGCATCAGTCCTTCCAATGAATATTCAGGGTCTCCTCTGGCAAAATTAGGGAATTAAAAGATTCATCACTTTCCTACTGAAAAGTCCAACCTTCAATTGCTCTTGAGTGCGCTCTCTTGTAGCTCCTGGCTCTTTTATGAATGCCCAATATTCCCAGGCATTCTCCCCATTAAGTGAACACAGGGCAAGTACTTCCCTGTCTACCTCTTTATGTTTCAGAACACAACTAAAGATTTTTTAAAAAGTTAAAAAAAACTAAACCCTTTTTATTTTGTATTAGAGTATAGCCAATTAAAAATGTTGTGGTAGTTTCAGATGGACAGCAAAGGGACTCAGCCATACAGTATTATAAATAAATCCATTCTCCCCCGTACTCCCCTCCCATCCAGATTGCCACATAACATTGAGCAGAGTTCCAAGATTCTTTACTGGAGAGCCGGGTTAATTAAAAAAGATCACACTGTATAGGAAGGGAGAACCGTCAATTGTCAGTTAACATAGTTTTTTCCCTCCACAGTTCACGGGAAAAGAACTTAACGTATACATTCAACAAATACATGCCAGCTGTCTTGCTGAGCTGCCCAAGACAGATAAAATCTCCTACATGTTGAGCTTTCATTTGAGAAGGAAATAAGTAAACATACATACATTGACAACATAATTAGAGATGGATGAAGTGGTACTTCTGATAGCCCTTTTAGGGAAGGGTGTCAGTTCTATCATTTCGAAGGAAGTGATGTGTTTGAGCTGAGACCTGAAGGGTGGGAAGGAGCTGGTCTTCAAAAAAGCCGAAAAAGAGTTGCAGAAAAAGAGGCCACGTGAAACTGCTCCTGGGTTCCCCTGCGACTCAAGTCACTGCCTTATCACTGGTGTCGCCCTCTGCTCTTCACCTGCTCACAACAGTGGCCACCGGTCTTTCAGGACAACTCAGGCCACGGGGATTGGGTTTCCCCTCCAGGCAGGGCCTGCTTCTCCGACCCAGGAGATGTTGAGTATTATCCCTGGATGGTGTGTTCTGTTTGAACCAGCGGTTTCACCGCTAGACTGTGACGGCCTTCCATTCACGGACTCTTCAGTCCTTTCTCATTGTCTAGGAACTTGACTCGATTTCTTTAATTAGTGAATCTACAATTGTTTCTGAATGGCAGAGCCTTTTGATGGATGATTAATTAGAAACCCTCTGTTTTCCAATTCTGTTCTGGTCACCCCCCTATTTTTCCCAGATCATATTGTTCTAAGCCTCAATTACATGAAGGTCAGAAGGCCCCCGACTAACTCCAGATGCCACTGGATTGGCGTTTAGGGCCACTTCAGGAAGGTAGGTCCTCAGGCGCCCAGGTGCAGCCGGAGACCGGGAGTGCGGGCGCCCCGATGACGTCACTCCAAGGCTGCCTGCACAGCGCGGGGCGTGACGTCACGCGGGCGGGCCAGGCCATCGTGAGGTCACCTGGTGGGTGCGGCCAGGCCGAATCCCCAGTGTCGTCACGGGAGGGGGCGGGGCCAGAGCGTGTCAGCGAAGCCGAATCAAAACAAGCCCGAGACCCGCCTTTTCCCTCTGGCTGGAGAGCGTCTTGCTCGCGCCCCGAGCCCGCGGCGCCCGCGCGGCTGCGAGCCTCGGGTGACCGCGCGCCGGCTCCAGGAAGCCGGGGAGGGCGCGGCAGCCGGGATGGCGCGGCACGGGCCGCGCGGCTAGACGGGCACCAGCGGAGCCAACGGCCCGCGCCCTCCGTTCTCGGCCTCCCGGACCCGGCGTCGCGCCGCTGGGAGCCGCCTTCACCGACGCGGGGCACCTGGACGCTCGCGAGATGCCCAACCCCAAAAACAGTAAAGGCGGCCGCAAAAACAAGCGCGCCAACAGCAGCGGGGACGAGCAGGAAAATGGAGCCGGGGCCCTGGCAGTGGCGGGCGCGGCGGGCGCGGCGGCCGGGGGGGCCCTGGCGGCGGCGGCGGGCTGCGGAGCTGCGGCGGCGGGCGCACCCGGCACCGGGGGCGCGGCGGGCGCGGGAGGCGCGGGGCCGGGCGCCGCCAACGCCGCGGCCGCCGCGGGGGCTGCAGCCGCGGGCGACGCCAAAAACGGTAAGTCGGGTCCGGTCGGGCGAGCGCCAACTTCCTCACCGACGGGGACGGCGCGGCGGCGGCGGGGCCCAGGGTGGCGCGGGCGATGCGTGGACAATGCGAGAGTCAGGAAGTGCTCACCCCGCCCCTCCGCCCCGCCGCGGCTGCCCCTTCCCGGTCCCCACGCACGGCGGCGGCGATCGATCGGCGGCCCCGGCTCGGTGTCCGCGCGGCTCTCTGGTCGCGCGCCTCGGGCAGCCTGCGCCCCAAACTCTGAGGGGCTTTCGGGTCCCGGGTCGGGGCGGCGCTCCCCTCGGGCCCTGCCCGTTGTCCCCGCGCTGGCAAAGCCGAGTGTGTGCCTCAGACCAGGGGGAAGGAAGGAAGGAAGGAAGGAAAGAAAGAGCTGCTTAAGTTGAGAAGAATGGTCCAATTGAAAACTTAGGCACCAGTTCCTTCTCCCTTGTGCTCCCCTCACCCACCCGCCTTCCCCTCCCCTGAGTGAAGGGGAGCCTCACATCCCGGCCGACCCGGGCCTGCTGTGTCGATTGCCACAGGTGAAGAGGCCCCGAGACATTTTTACTGTAGGGTGTGTGTGTGTGTGTGTCGCTGGGGTGAGGGGGCGGGGGTGTGCTCTTTAATTCTGTTCGCTTGAGGAAGGAAGAGACTCTGAACTTGACTTCCGTTCTCAGCCCGGAGTTAAAAAAAAAAGAAAAAAATCATTTAATTCGACTTCACATTTTAGGAGGAAGCTTAATAATCTGAATGCACCTTTTGAAGGAGCGTTTAAGGAATAGTGAAGATGCCACAGGATTGCGTTGTCACTGTAGAGACACAGTCTTATAGAGTACTGGGCAAACACTTTTTCGGACTTGGGCAGTTCTTTGAATTCCTCTGGTCAAGCAGGTTTTCAGGGCAGGGAATATAGGTATATTTTGATGAAGAGAGATTGGGTTCTTAATATCTGACTTTTAACTTGCAGGTTTCAGCTTCCAAAGCCCTTCTTTATGTAGATCACTTACTTTTAAACAGGTAAACTGCTCTTAGAAGAACCCCCACGGTGATCAGAGCAGAGGAGGCTGAAGATTAGCATATTAGAAACAGAACCTTAGGCCCCATTGGCTATATCTCTGCAATTTTGAAATAGGAAGTTTCTTTTTCCCCCCCAGGAACAAACATCCCATTTGTGAATGTTTGAAAAGTCAAATTTTGGCCAGACTGTCTTTGGCGTGTTCTTCCCCCCCCCCCGCCCCCCCCCCCCCCCGTGAAAAATCGTGTAGTTGCTCATCTGTGTCCAACTCTTTGCCACCCCGTGGACTGTAGCCTGCCAGGCTCCTCTGTGAAATTCTCCAGGCAAGAATACTGAGTGGGTTGCCGATCCCTTCTCCAGGGGATCTTCCTGACCCAGGGATCAAACCTGGGTCTCTGCCTTCTTTACCTTCTCAGTCACTTTAATGGACACCCCCCCCCACACACTTTTTTTTTGTTACTAAACTTCATCTTGGTATTGATGTGGCAGAGGAGAAAGAAGACACTCCTTGCTCAGCCATTCAGTTTTGTCATCTTGGGAAGGACAGCTGTTCTGAGCCTCAATTTCCTACCTTGTAAAATCGGGAAAAAGAATTTATACTGATTATATCGGCTGGCTCAGGAAGTTATCGTGAGGCTCAGAGTGTCCCTTCCCTACCCAGTCCCCAGGACTTGTTTTAGAGGCTGGTTACATTTGTAGCAAGCTTAGTCAAGTTTGTCAAGGAAAGTAAGTGATCAGTGGATGACCACTGTCATTCACTCATTCAGAAGATACTGAGCATTGACCATGTTACAAGTACTGTGTTAAGTATTAAAGGACAGGTGGCCATCAAGGAAGGACCCCTGGTCCTTGCCGGAGCTTGCCTTCCTGGGGTGGCTCGGAGGGTTTACCCTGCATCTGCTTGAAAGTTTAGGGTTGACTGTTCCCTTTTCTTCTTTCTTCAAAAGAGAAGACCTCGTAAAGACGGTGTGAGGGCATGTTTTCCTTAGGCTGTGGTTATGGTGCCTGATTACTGCTCTCTACTGAAGTGGCAGTCTCAGGTATATATAGCAGTTCTGTGTGTATCCATGTGAAGGTATGTATTTGTGATTTGGAGCTTGTTTTATTACATGAATGGGGGAGAAAAGGAAGAAAGGGGCCAAACATTGTAATAATCACACTTAGAGAAGGTACAAACTTATGTTAGAGCATAAGTGAATTGCAATTTTTTTTTGTTTTTAATGTTTGTTTATTTATATATTTGGCTGTTTCCTGTCTCAGTTTAGCGTGCAGGATCTTTAGTTGCAGCGTGTGGGATCTAGTTCCCTGGCCAGGGATTGAATCTGGGCCCCCTGCACTGGGAGCACGGGTAGAGTCTTAGTCACTGAACCACCAAGGAGTCCCCAGTGAGTTGAATTTCATGATGCCAAAATTCTTGATTCTGACATGGTGTGAAGTCTCAGTGAGTGATCCACCTTAATGTGAAGAATCTTTCACTGTCATTGATGATAATTGCACATGGGTGCTGAGGTCTCCTGTGTGCAAAATTGGTAAATAAGGAAATTATAAATGCTTTTTTGTTCTTTTTTTTTTTTCCATTTAAAGATGTGTTTTTTAATGTGGATGTAGGAGAGGTGGCATTGGTGAATTTTTAAAGGAAGGGGCAACTGATACTTGCAACCTCTCAATCAACTGATAAAACCCACTGATTTTTAAATTTCAGGATGACATTAATTGAACTCATAGTATTTCTAAGTCAATTTTTTTATTTAGCTGAGACATTAGATTTTGTAATTATGAATATTACATATCAGTTATTTCAAGAGTGTAGTACATTTACATTATTAAACTTTTAAATGATTTGCGCTCACTGTTCAAGTCCGTTGTGACCTACATCTGCAAGCATTCAAACTATATGACTTCACCTAAAGTTAATAGTACTTATTTGTAGTTGTTTGGAGTTCATAGGATGGTTTTATGTCTTGTGCTTCCTGGGCAGTGTGGACACCAGGGCAGGGTAATATTGTTCTTAGTTTTTCACTGTTAGTCAGTAGTTATTTATAACTACTGATTCTATAAAAAAGATTTGGTGGTTAGGGAAACCTTGAGGAAGCCATGGCTGGGTTATATAGTTGAAGTTAAACTACTTGAAGTTAGGCTTCTTGGTTAAGTTGAATATTAATTGTAAGGACTTTGTACCCCAAGAAGAAATTAATTAGTACATTTTCAGATACTGGTTTATGAAGTTTTTGTGGGGATTGGAGTAAAAGATGAGGAAGCCCTGTCCTCTTTCTACATAGTAAACATCTGTCTGCACATATTGCAACATTTTGATTGTAGATGGACAAGATTTGCCAGTGATTATTTTTAGGTTCTAGTAATCATGCAGTAGATTATACCCATGTATAGTTTCACTCTGGAATTCTGGTTCTATATGGCCACTGGTTTTTGCTTGAGGCCTAAAAATATATGAACTCTTGGTCATAGTATCTACTTTTTAACGGGCCTGAATCTCAAATCCTTTTTATAAATTCCTGTTTTATGGATGACCATGGTTCACCATTCCATTCATTCCTGACTACTGCCAGAACCTCTGGGTTGCTGAGTTTGCCTTCATTCATTCAACCGTTCATTCATTATTCTTTGTAGTACATTGGGTTAGTTTACCCAGTGATTGATCTTGCATTTATTATAATGTATATAATACTATACATAATATTAAGCTGATGCTTAAGCTCCAGTACTTTGGCCACCTGATACAAAGAGCCGACTCATTGGAGAAGACCCTGATGCTGGGAAAGATGAAGGCAGGAGGAGAAGAGGGTGACAGAGGATGAGTTGGTTAGGTAGCATCACTGACTCAGTGGACATGAATCTGAGCAAACTCCAGGAGATAGTGGAGGATGGAGGAACCTGACGTGCTCAAGTCCATAGGGTCCCAAATAGTCAGACATGACTTAGCAACTGAACAACAACAGCAATATATAATATTATACATTTATATATATATACATATATATACATACATATATATATATATATACATATATATACATACATATATATATATATATAGTGGCTGATTTACATGGGTTAGCCACTCATCTTAGATTCTGGAAATAGTCTTTGAGACAAAGATTTACCTGCTGGCTGTTTACTGGATGTGCTCTTTGCATTGTTACTGGTCAGGGAGTGAGGGAAGCAAGACTGAGCAGAGGGAGGAGCTGAGCTGTGATGTGAGGGAGGTCAGGAGTGGGCTGGCCCTCCTGAGTTATCTTACCTTGAGGCGTGTGGGCGGGACCTTAACTACCCCCCATCCCCACATACACATTGGTTGATCACTGGACATGGGGTGCCCCCAGGAAGAAAGAATGATCTGGGAGGTGGGTGACAGCTGTTAGCTGTAGAACTTCTGTGGACATTTCAGCAGAGTAGTAAGTACAGGTACATCACTATTTTTAATGATTGCATAGTATACCATTGTGTGTCTGCATCTTGGATAAACTGATCATTCTGCTCTTGTTTGATCTTTAAGTTCTTACTTGTACATGTCTAAGCATTATTCAGTTACTTCTTTAAGATAAACTATTACCTGTAGACTTGCTATGTCCAAGAATATGCACTTTGTTATGACTTTTAACACATGCCTGCAGATTGCCCTATGGAAAGGTTGTACCATTTTAACTTCACTGTGGTCAGAGTGCCCTTTCCCCCCGGCCTCTTCAGTTTCTAGTTCTTACTGTTTTAAAGGTGTGCTGGAGAATTGCTGGTACTCCCCAAACGTATCTGCAGTAGGGAGGCCCTGTTTGGATTCAGAGCCTGGGGCAGATGCTGCCATACTTAGAGGTATTTTCCAAGGCTGCATTTATTTCTCCTGTGCTTTTTAGTGATCTGGTGGCTAACAAGGATTCAACAAAATACCTAATAATGGTAAATGGTATCTTAGTAACTGGTGATAGTCCCTGGGATCGCAAAGAGTCAGACGAGACTCAGGGATTGAACATGCATGCACGAT